TTTGGCTGAGTAATATGCCACTGTATGAATGGATTTACCATATTTTGTTCATCCATATATCAGTTGATGGATTTGGGGGTTGCTTTCGCTTTTTGGCTGTTAGGAGGAGTAAGACCCAATGTACATGTGTGTATAGGTTTTTGTATGGGCATATCTATTCAAGTCTCTTGGGTATATACCTAGAAGTAGAAGTGCTGGGTCATATGATAACTTTATGTTTAACATTTTGAGGAAATGCCAAGCTGTTTTCCAGGGCAATTGCACCGTTAACATTCCTATCAGCAATGCATCAAAGTTCCAGTTTCTCCACATCCTTACCAAAACTTGTTATTGTCTGATTTTGATTACAGCCATCTTAGTGGAGGTGAAGTAGTATCTCATTGTGTCTTTTTCTTCTTTTTTTTTATAGATATGCTTTGTTGCTTATCTATTTTTAAAAATTATTTATTTATTTATGGCTGCATTGGGTCTTCGTTGCCGCACGTTGCGGCGAGCGGGGTGGGGGGGTTACTCTTCGTTGCGGTGCGCGGGCTTCTCATTGCGGTGGCTTCTCTTATTGCAGAGCACGGGTTCTAGGCGCACAGGCTTCAGTAGTTGCAGCACGCAGGCTCAGTAGTTGTGGCTCACAGGCTCTAGAGCGCAGGCTCAGTAGCTGTGGCTCACGGGCTTAGTTGCTCCGCGGCATGTGGGATCTTCCCGGACCGGGGCACGAAACCGTGTTCTCTGCATCGGCAAGCAGACTCCCAACCACTGCGCCACCAGGGAAGCCCATTTCCGATAGCTTTTGGTGCTTGAAAAACAGCATGGATGGATGGATATAAAATCCTTAGCGTGTATTCTCTTTCCTTGAGTTTTTAGAAAATGCTGAAAATGCTGCATCACTATAGCCTTGCTTTGCTCTTAAGAAGTCTGATGCCAAATATTTTGGTTACCAGACTCCACAACAGACTAGCCTAAAAGGAACGGCACAAAGAACCATTTTGAGCCAGGAATTTGGGTACGATTTGGCTGGGTGATTCTTCTGTTCTACGTGGCTTCAACTGGAACCACTCTGTGGTATTCAGCTGATAGCTGGACTGATACAGAGAATTCATGATGACTTCTCTCATATCAGCTAGGATCAGGTAGACCCCTCTCCCTCTCCACGTAGTCTCAGAACCTCTCCATAGGGAGTTAGATATTTTACAGAGTGGCTCGGGGCTTCAAGGGCAAGTGTTCCCAAAGACCCAGGTGGACTCTTCAAGACTTCTTATGACCAAGCCTGGAAGTCTCATAACATCACATATTCTATCGGTCAAGCAATTTGCTTAGGCCAGCCTGGATCAAAAGAAGTGATACAGAAAATACAGTCATCTTTAATGTACTGTAGCCTAATTTTCTTACACTTTTAAATAACTTGAACTTTTTATATGGAAGCCTTGAAGATTATCATTGTTATTTTTTGGCTAATAGTTTTAATTTAATTTAATTTAATTTATTTATTTTATTTTTGTTTTGTGGTACGCGGGCCTCTCACTGCTGTGGCCTCTCCCGTTGTGGAGCACAGGCTCCGGACGCGCAGGCTCAGTGGCCACAGCTCACGGGCCCAGCCGCTCCGCGGCATGTGGGATCCTCCCGGACCGGGGCACGAACCCGCGTCCCCTGCATCGGCAGGCGGACTCTCAACCACTGCGCCACCAGGGAAGCCCCTTTATTTTATTTTTAAAAATTTATTTATTTATTTTTGGCTGCTCTGGGTCTTCGTTGCTGTGCGCAGGCTTTCTCTAGTTGCGGCGAGTGGGGGCTACTCTTCGTTGCAGTGTGGGGCCTTCTCATTGCGGTGGCTTCTCTTGTTGTGGAGCACGGGCTCTAGGTGCGCGGGCTTCAGTAGTTGCGGCCGTGGGCTCAGTAGTTGTAGCTCGCAGGCTCTTGAGCATAGGCTCAGTAGTTGTGGCACACGGGCTTAGTTGCTCCACGGCATGTGGGATCTTCCCAGACCAGGGCTGGAACCCGTGTCCCCTGCATTGGCAGGGGGATTCTTAACCACTGTGCCACCAGCGAAGTCCTATTTTTTTATTTTTAAAAATTTTGGCCATACCACATGGCATGTGGGATCTTAGTTCCCTGATCAGGGATTGAACCTGCGCCCCCTGCATTGGAAGCACGGAGTCTTAACCACTGGACTGCCGGGGAAGACCCTATCTAATAGTTTTAAGAGACTATCTCTCAAAATTGATCATTCTGTGGTCATTTCCCCAAGTACATGTGAGTCCTTTCATTTTGTAGGTTTATATTTTCTTCTTTCAAGAAAGTTTCTTAGATTATAGTTTCATCATATGTGGAACTTTGGCTACATATATGTTGGACCTTCTTTGCTTGTATTCAAATGACAGTCCAAAGAGAGAGAGAAACAAGCACAAAGGTATGGAGGCAAGGGAAAGTAGGAACATTTCAGGAGTTTGGATGGGGGATGTGTAGGAAGAGACAAGAGATGGAGTGGACAAGGGCTAGATAGATGGAAGGTCTTGTGTGCCAGCAGTGACACCACAAGCGGCAAATTAAAAAAAAACAATTCTGACATGTGGTGTGGAATATGGATCAGAAGGAACAAGACTACAGGAGGGAGACAAGATAAAAGGGTATTGCATTAGCCTAGGTAAGAGGAGCTAAGAGGGACAGAGTGTAGACTTATGTTTGAGGAGAATCAATGGGATTGTTGGGTGTGGCGGGGGTGGGCGTGGGTAAAGGATGAAGGATGACTCCCAGGTCCTGGGCAACCAAGGGTCCAACAGTTTTAGACAAGTAGAACTTGAGGGGTCTCTAGGACATCCAGGTGGAGAAGTCTAGTAGGCTTGTGTGTACATGGAACTCAGATGAGTGGTCTGAGCTAGATAATGTACTTGGGAGTTGCCGATATATGTGGCAGATGAAGACAGGGTGGATGCAACGGCTCAGGGAGAATGTACGGGGTGCGATGAAAGCTGAGAACAGAACCTTGTAGACGGAGGAGTGGTCAGAGGGGTTAGGAGAGGAGTCCCGTTGTGAAGGCCAAGGGGGTGTCAAAAAGAGTAGAGAGCTCTGTGTCGTCAAATGCCACCAAGAGCTCTAGTAATAGAGGACTCAGAAACGGCCTGGGGCATTTAGGATGAAGCCAGCGCTTACTGACTGAGAGCAGTGCAGCGATGTGGGGGGACAGAAGCTACACAGCTATGGGTCGGGGAGTGAGAGGGGGCTGAGTTGGCAGAGATGAGTGTAAACTATTTTAAGACTTTTGTCTTAAAAGACAGGGAGGGAATAGTAACTGGAGCATGATCTAGAATGACAGAGGTTTCCTCCTGTTCCTTTAGGACAGGAAAAGCTTGAACATGAATAGATGGTGAAGGAAAAGGACAAGTAGGTAAAAGAAGTTGGTAACTTTGGGAGAGAGAGTGATGACTGCAATATGTTTGAAAGAAGTTTTCTGAGGATGTGTGAGGTGATGAAAAACAGAACCGAGATGGAGAGATGCTAACATGAATATATTTAAAGTGGTTAATTCCCAGAATGGCTAGTCCACATATTGAAATTACTTTGGTTTCAGTCAGTAGAGCAAACAGAACGAACCATATTTACATATTGTTTTACATCATTTACACCTCTTTTCTCCAGAGGGCAGGATCAGTGTTTTACCCTTTCAATGCCTCCCACACAGTTGGTGCTCAATGAGTAGTAAGTGAATAAACAACGTGTCTTTTACGTGTATTCTGAGTATCTTAACATATTCAAAACATAGTTAAGACCCTGCATACAAGTGAAAAAGTCTTCTAAGCATGCAAAATAGTCGCAAAATTCATAAGTGATAGGTGATGCCAGTGTTTTGGAGTAACCTGTTTACTCTCACTTAACAAAGTTGGTTACCAGCATTTCCTTCACCACAGGGGCTTAAAAATAGGAAGATAAGAGGAGGAGGAAGAGGATGTCCTAAAGACAGGCAGGCAGACAGACAGCAGCAGAAGGTGGTACGATCTGCCTTGCCATAAGGTGCCAAAAAGCAGTGAAAAACCAGACTCAAAGCACTGGGCTCTCTTAGCTTAGAGATTTACATCCTTCACTAACGTATCAAAAGTCCTTAAAGGACACTGCTGTCGTGAGCCTTAAATAAAGTTGAGAAAATGATCCTTTGAGCCGTTAAAAAAAAGCTTTGCTGTTCCTCATTTGGCATCATCTCCTGTTTCACATAGTTTGGAAAGGATTCTAGCAAAACGGATATTAAAACAAACAAGCTGATGCTGAGATGGTAAACCTTGGTCACTCTCTGTTCCTTTGCCCAAGCTGTTTACCTAGCTTTTGATGCCCTCCCTTTTTTTCTCCTAGGATTTCTCTCTTTTTCTTCCTTGCAGGCTGAATACAAATGCCACCTCTTCCAGGAATCCCTTTGCATTCTCCAAGCGGAAGTAATCTCTTCCTCCTCTGCCCTCCCACAGCATCTCACCGTGGCTTGGCTTTGCACGGATCACCAGACCTGCTTGTTTACACGGCCGCTTTTCCACTAAGTTACGCGCTCCTGGAGACCAGGGACCTTGACGGTGTACCCACACAGCACCTGGTACAGTGCTACAGCGCTAGGCACGGAGTCGGTGCTCAGTTAACGGTTGCTGAGCTGAATTAACACGGAAAGATCACTCAGGGCAGGGTCTCGCGCTCGAGGTGCGGATGAATGATTCATGGGGGTGGTTCTTTGCATTCTTTACCTTGTAGTCACGTCGGGCCGAGCATCCAGCCGGCGGGGCACATACCTGTGGAGTTGGAACGCAACTCCGCCGCCCACAGCTGGCTCACGGGAAAAGCCCGCAGGGGGCAAGTTTACTCCGCCCGCCCGGAACCCGGCCGCAGGGGGCGGGCCTCGAGGGGAACTCTGCCCGCTGGCCCGCCCCCTCCTCGGCGCGGCGGAAGCTCCGCCCCCAGCCGCGCGCTCGCGCAGGCGGCGCGTGCCCGGCCCCCGCCCTGCGCCCTCGCGCCCCCGCGCCCTCGCGCCCTCGCGCCCTCGCACCGGGGGCGGGCTCGCTGCGCGTGCCGGGCGGGGAAGCGGCGCGAGCCGGGTTCCTGAGAACGTTCGCCGCGGGGGCGGCTCCGGGGCCTGAGCGGGCGCCGCCACCGCCTCAGCCTCGGAGGCCGGGCCGGAGGAGGCGGAGGAGGCTGCGGCCGCCGGAGACCTTTTTGACGCCCCCAGCTCCGGCCGGGAAGTGAGTACTGCGGGGGTTTGTGGCGGCCGCCGCAGGCTGCGGGAGAGGAGCGCGGTGCCAGAGCCTCGCGCCCGCGAGAAGCGGGAAGGAGCCCGCGCAGCGCCCTTACCTCGGGAGCCTGCGGGGGTGCAGGGCCGGGAGCGGCGGAGACGGCGCGCGGGGAGCCGGGGCCGCTGCACAGCGCGCGCTGTGAGGGGAGACGGCGCCGCGCGCCCGGACCTGGAGGGGCGAGCGCGGGGGATGGAGCGGAGCTCCGGGCCGCCGCCGCCGGGCTCTGAGCCCCGGGCCGCGGAGGGGGCTCCGGGGTCCCGAGCACGCTTTGGTCGTAGGGCGCCGAGCCGGGGTGCGGGCGTAGGGCTGATGCTGCCCGTGCCCGGCTCGCAGGGAGGAGGCTCTGCCTTAGGTGTTTAAGGGGGCGAAGGAGGCAGGTCCTGGCAGAGGGCAGGTGAGGCAGGCAGGCCCTGGCAGAGGGAAAGGAATTTATTTCACATCACCTCAAAACACTATTTCCCGAGGCACCTATCAGTGAACCTGTGCACCGAGGTCACCCGTTAAAGGAAAGTGTCCTGAGAGGAGGAAGGATGCAGCTAACGAATGCTTGCTGTTAAATTCCTGTGCCAGGCCTTGGGATTAGGGAGACCTTCCAGCAGCCTCAGCAAACGTTTATTGGTTAGGTACCTTGGGGAGAGAGCCGTGGTCAGCACTGGGACCACAAAATTGTGTAAAACACAACCATCATTTGCTCTTTAAGTGCTGGCAATTCGGTTGTAAAGGTATGCGTATGAAGTACAAAGCAACATTGAATTTTGTCTCATCCACTTTAGGTCTCTTTTCCCCAGTATTGGGAAATTGGAGCCATAAAATTGCTTGCTTTGAGGATTAAAGCAGGAGGGTCAAAGAAGCTTGTGGGAGGTACTTGGGAGAGTTTTGAAGGAACTTCTGCGTAACATTTAAAGAGAGAGAAGGGAAACGGAAATTGGAAAGAGAAAAGAAGTTACCTTTCTTCCCGGGTAGAATGAAGCGCCATGACTATTAACTGCTAAATCCTCGGTGACAAGAACGGTGCCTGACCCACAGCAGGCACTAAATACCTACGTATTATTGCCTGAATGAATGAACCAAGCAAGGTTTTGCTCTATTTTACACAGAGCACTATTGATAAGTCTGGTGTTAGGGATGGCTGAATGGACTTCCCTTGTTCCTCCGGTTCTCTTTTTTTTTTTTTTTTTTTTTTTGCCGTGTGAGGTAACCCAGGTTCTTAGGTCTGGGCATTTAAAGTGATGGCTAAGGTGATGGAGTTGTCATATCTTGTGGTCATGCTGCCACTTTCACATCTTTATTGCATGTTGGCTGCCAGGAGCTTACTCCTTGGGCCCTTGCTTCAAATCATCCCATTCTGGCCTGTTTCTATCACTTGAGGAAGGAGAGTACTTTTGTCTAGAAAACACTTTTTCATTTTTATCTTGGTTCTTGGATCTTAGATCTGTCATAAGAGGATGTACCTCTGCTCTTCTGTAAGGGCTGGGATTCTGCCTTTTTTCTGCCTTGGTTGGATTTCTGGACTCTCGAGCTCCAGGCTGCTGTTTCAGTTGCCTGGGTTGCAGTGCCTGTTGGGTTACTTTGCCTGCCAAATTAAAACTTGACCTTTTATGAGTTCTGTGAGAATTTTTATCGTACATAAGTGGAATTACTTTTGAAGGGGATTGTGTAGTCAAGGTAGTGTTGGCAAGGCTTTTGAGTGTCCACTATGTGTGAGAGACAAAATTTCTACTTAGTTAGGAAATCAGATTTAAAACCAATAGAATGCCAAGTTACCACTTGTTTTATATCTTTAGTATAAATCTCTCAGGACCTAGGTTTCCTTATATAAAAATAAAATATTAATTCAAATTTGGCATTGTGTAGTAAGCCTTGAAGAACTAAGTTAATTTCTCTTTAGTTTTATGACTGTGTACTTAAGAGTGCAACCAGCAGGTGTCTACTAGTTCTTATTTTGGGATGCCTAGGTCCTGTAATTTTGGATGCCTTGTTCTAGGTTTTCTCAGTGATACTGTATTTTATTTATTTATATATTTAATTTACATTTATTTTGAAATCAGCTTTACTGGTGTCTGCACAGATGTCCTGTGCAGAGCTGGTCTAGTGGAGTTTTGTCTGATAAACCCACTGTAAGTTGAAAGTATGGTAAGTTGAAAATGCATTTAATACACCCAATCTACCGAACATCATAGCTTAGGCTAGCCTACCTTAAACATGCTCAGAACACTTACATTAGCCTACAGTTGGGCAAAACCATCTAACACAATGCCTATTTCATAATAAACTGTTGAATGTCTCATGTAATTTATTGAATACCGTACTGAAAGTGAAAAACAGAATGGTTGTAAGTATCTGGGTTGTTTACTCTTGCGGCTGACCAGGAGCTGTGGCTCATGGCCGCTGCCCAGCATCACGGGAGAGTATCATACTGCATATTGCTAGCCAGGGAAAGGATCAAAATTCAGATTTGAAGTACAGTTTCTACTGAATGTGTATTGCTTTCGCACCATCTAAAGTCAAACCACTGTAAGTTGGGGACTGTCTATACTTTGTAACCACTATCTCAATCAAGATATAGAAATTTACATCACGGTAGAAACTCCCTCATGCTGGTTTGCAGTAAATACTCTCATCACCTCTCATTTTATTTATTTCTAGTTATACAAGTATCAGGGCTGTGGCATCTAGTGCAGGAAGTATACTGCCCAATTTTAGGGGATGCCATTCACATCGGAGTGCCTGTGAATGGCAGCTCCTGGAGTTGTATTGTGCAGTCTGGGGCTGTGTACTGCAGCTCTGCAAATGGCTCATGAATGCACACTGTCTTATTAAATGCTCAAACATTACAGACAGAATACAAGGCTCCTTGACCCACTCCCTTCTCCACCAAAACGGCAGTTATCAGTTTGTTGTGATCCTTCTAGACCTTTCTCTATGCATTTTCATCTATATATAGATAATACGGGAAGAAGTAGGGTTTCCTCCGATGCCCACATTAATGACATGATACTGTAGACATTGGTCTGCAACTTCTTCCTAACAGAATGTCTGAGATCTTTCCATGATGGAACATAAAGATCTACCTGGTTCTTCTTGACTACTACACAATACCATACATAGTATATATTGTACTGTAGTTTATTTAATCCTCTCCTCATTAATGTCCATTAAAGCTGTTTGCCATTTCACCATTGCTGCAGTGAATGAAAAGTAGAATTGCTGGGTCAAAGGGGTGCATGCTTTAAATTAATTGATGGAGGTTTAACCATGTTGCAACTTGTGGATCTGGTTCATTTATTTTTAAAAGCTGAGTAGTGTTCAGTTGTAGACTTAAATCACTGTTTATGTATCCTCCACTAACTGTGGGGCAGTTAGGTTACTTTGGATACTAATTCATTGCTGGATTTATGTGTTGCCAAAGCATCCTGCCAGTCTGAGGCTTGCCTTTTCCTTTTGTTAACAATGTCTTTAGTTGTATACAAGTTTTACATTTTAATGTTATATTTATGGAAAATTTTACACTAAATTAACAAAATTTGTTTCTGTGTCTGGTTTAAGTAAATTTTCTCTACCCCAGGGTGTGAATTCTATATATCTGTATTTTCTTCTAAAATTAAAAAAGAAGTTTTGCTTTCTGTGTGGAATTTCTATATGGTGTAATGAAGTGATATATATATTTTTTAATTTGGAAAACCAGTTTTTCAGCACTTTCCCTCATTTTTTTTTATTGTGGCAAAATATACACAACATAAAATTTACTATTTTAACCATTTTTAATTGTACAGTTCTGTGGCATTAAGTACATTTACATTGTTGTATAAACATCACTGTCCATTTCCAGAACATTTTATCTTTCTCAACTGAAACTCTGTATCCATTAAACACTGATTCCGCATTCTTTTCTCCCTCCAGCCCCTGGCAACCACCATTCTGCTTTCTGTCTCTGTGAAGTTGACTACTCTCGGCACCTTCTATAAGTGGAATCATACAGTATTTGTCCTTTTGTGTCTGGCTTATTTCATTTAGCATAATGTCTTCAGAGTTCATCTATATTGTAACATGTGTCAGGATTTCCTTTTTTTTTTTTTTTTTTGACCCCGCCTCGAGGCTTGTGGAATCTTAGTTCCCTGACTAGGGATTGAACCCAGGCGCTCGGCATTGAAAACGCCAAGTCCTAACCACTGGACCTCCAGGGAATTCCAGGATTTCCTTATTTTTTAAGGCTGAATACTATTCTGTTGTATGCATACATTATGTTTGCTTATTCATTCATCCATCAATGGACACTTGGGTTGCTTCTGTCTTTTGGCTATTGTGAATAATGCCGCTATGAACATGGGTGTGCAAATATCTGTTCAAATCCCTGCTTTCAATTCTTTTGTGTATACACCCAGAAGTGGAACTGTCCATGATATTAAAAAAATTATGTGCATAACTGAATATGACCAAAATGGGTGGATAGTACAGAGAGTTCCTATAAACCCCCTCTTCTTCAGGGGCACTTTCCCGTTATTAACATCTTGCATTAGTGTGGTACATTTGTTACAACTGATGAATAAATATTGATACATTATTATTAACTTAAGTTCATGGTTTATATTAGGCTTCTGCTCTTTGTGTTGTAGAGTTCTATGGGTTTTGACAAATGCAAAATGTTATCACATGACATTTCATGTAATGTCATTGCAGTATCATGCAGAATAATTTCATTGCTCTAAAATCCCCTGTATTCCACCCATTCATTCCCCCCTCCCTCCTGCTGAGCTGATAACAACTGATCATTTTACTGTGTCTATAGTTTTTGGTTTTTTAAAATAAATTTATTTATTTTATTTTTGGCTGCATTGGGTCTTTGTTGCTGCGCGCGGGCTTTTCTCTAGTTGCGGCAAGCGGGGGCTACACTTGGTTGTGGTGCGCGGGCTTCTCATTGCGGTGGCTTCTCTTGTTGCGGAGCATGGGCT